GAGCTCAGGCCTTTGGCTTTGGGGTAGTTCTGTTGTCATTGTTGCTGTTGTTTTCAAGAAGCAAATATCAAGACTTTCAACAGAATATTAACTTGAATAGGTTCAGTCAACAGTACTTCCCATAGTGAGTGGTGTGAAGGGAGGGGAGAGGAGCTATGCTGCAACCATTTTATTTTGAGGTACTTCTTTTTATAGCCTATTTGACTTACATATATAAAAGCAGACTCATCTCCTAATAAAAATCAACATTCGTAGTATGTGTGTGGATCATTCTTTCCCAGGTCAGATTCCCTCTTTTTCTACAGGCATGGCATTCTTATACTGGGGCAAACCTGAAAGATGGAGAATGCATGTAAATCTCAGAACAGGCGGCCTCAGAGTGTGTATCTCTGATTTCTTGCAGGGAGTTGAACAAAAATTAATGGCACATCTACTAAGGTCCCTGCACCATGGTAGATGCTGAGATACAATGAGAACACGACTCTGCTCCTGTCCTAACAGGGTTTCGTCTAGTGGGTGGAGTGGACAGAACAGCAGGCAGTGACGTAGCCTATAATAAGTGCTCACCTAAGGGAGCATACGATCCAGATCTAAGAGAGCCAGGAGGGCTTCTCAGAAGAAAAGGCATATGATAAGACTGGAAGGATAAGGAGTTACTAAGGTCAGAAGTTGAGGCACATTCCAGGCAGAAGGAACATGCAGGAAGGCCTGAAGGTAAAAATATCCTAAGATAAAGGAATTCAGTGTGAGGGGAGCAAAAAGGGAGAGAGAGGCATCAAGGAGGATGGAGTTAGATGGGACTGGCTTAGAGGGAGGAACAAAGAAATAGAGCCTTTAAAAAAGTGTCTCTGTAGAGCAGTGGAGATAGCTGTTGGAAGGTTTTAAGCAGAGCACAGATGCATACGTTTGCATCTTAGGAAGAGCGCCCTGGCAGCACTGAGAATGAATTGGTGGAAGAAGCTCGAGCAAAACTTGCAGGAAGGAGACAAGCAGAGAGACCTGTGTAGTCATCCAGGTGATGGATGATGGTGGTCTGACCCTGGATAGAGAGAAGTAGATGGACTTGGAGAATTATTTGGGAGCTAGAAGTCCACAGAACTTGGTGATGGAAGGACTATAGAGGGGGAGAGGGAGGCAATGGCAACTCAGATTTGGGGTTCAGGCAATGCGCAAGAAGGCAGAGCCCCTCACTGAGATGAGAAATGTAAGCAGAGAAGGTGGGATGGGGAAGATGAGTTCAAGGCCATGGTCCACCACTCAGACCCTCATCAATATGCTCATGCCTCTGGACTCTGTCTCCCACCCCAGCCCCTGACCAGCTCCCCAGCCTGAAGGAATCTAATCACTGACTTCTCCAATCCTGCTTCTGAAAAGCTTGCAACAAGTTAGAAAAATGTCTGTCGTTGTCCACAATGACCCTACCACAAGCTTGTGGGTTTTAACCTGAGCTGGGCTCACAAAGCGCCAGTATTCGTTCCATTTCAACCCCACCCATCACCAGGGTAGTAGTTTCAGAGCTTTTCTACTCCCCGCAGGGCAGCATTTCTCCTAATGGAGGTCTAACCCAGTGTTTCACAATGTGTGGTTCCTGGACCAGAAGCATCAGCGTCACCAGGGAACCTGTTAGAAATGCACATTCTTGGGCCCCACCCAAATCAAAGTCTAGGCATGGGCCCAACAACTGCTGTTTTTGCAAGCCCTCATACTTAAGAACCACTAATCTATAAGCATTTTTCTCAAGAACTTCCCCTGAGTCCCTGTCCTCTTCCCCCTTCATCTTTAATTCTTGAGGCCCCAAAAGCCCTGTCCCTGACTCTCAGGTATGCCAGTCCACTCCCAGGTGCTCCAGAACTCTCTGCAACAGTCTAGTCAACATCTGCATTTCATAAAACATAAATCCAAACCAAATCTCCCACCCCACCACCTAAGCCGACTCCATCTTTTATATGTCTCCTTGCCAAATCTCCTAAACCCATCTCTCTCTCTTTCACTTCTTGCCACAACACTTATTTGTTCCCATCGATTCCCTCAGGCCTTTGGTCTTACCACCATCCTCCAGCATACTTTCTCCATTGTCTTCTTAAAAAGAAAAGAGTTAAAAAAAAGAAAAGATATTCCCTTTTTAATTTTCCCATACACACAGGGAATATTGTTATGGGAATGTCCTTAAGTTTACCATATTTAAAAAAGTAATAGATGGAGTCTTTCCATGTCATGCGAGGGCCCAGATGCTTTATATACCTTATCAGCAACTCTTCAGAGAAGGCATGTCTTCCTTCCAAAGGTCAAACTACTGACACTCAGAGATGTGACCTGCCTAAGCCACGTAGCTTTTAAGTGGAAAAGCTGAGATTTGATCCCAAATCTCTTTTATCCCACCTTGCTGCCTCGTTCTGTATGACTACAGTCTTACATTAACAATGTCTACTATCAGTAAGCCAAATTTAACACCAGTTTAAGTGCATTTCCGCTGCATTTCTGTCATTAAGAAACCTGAACCCATCATTCTGTTGATTTGCAACACATTCTTAACACTCTTAATGAACTGCCGACATTTCTTCCTTAGGTTTTTTTTTTAAACTACCACAGCAGTCAAAAAATAAATGAGGAAATGACTAGCCCTGATTCAGAATACTATGCTGTGCTTTGTTTGCTGTGGGATGGAGGAGGAAGAAATTCTCCACGTAATGACCTCAGCTGGCTGCCAGCCTGCCCGCCAATCACAATGGTAACGTATAAATACTAGGTAGTTGCTTCTCTCCAACTTGGTGCCAACTTGTAAAAAGTAGGAGAGGGGATATTGAGGATAAATCTGTAAAGAAGTGAAGAAGAAAAACAGTCCAGTTATATTTTTTCCTGCTGCTTGGTATATCCTGATTCTTGCAAGCAAACAGATATGTCATTAGAGAAGATAAAAAAAATAAGAGGTGCACGTTTTCCTGTCCAATAAAGCAGTACAAATGAGAACATGACTCCAGGTAAAGAAAGCATCTTTCATAGGTTTATTGGTCCATTACTTTAATTGAGGTAAAGAAACCTTCTTAAATTTACAAGCTAATAGTTTATCAAGCAATACAAATTCATTTGTTTACCTCAAAATGTAATACTAATCCCATAGTAAACAATGGTCAGAATTTTTTATACACAGATATATGAAAAAAGGTGGACAAAAACCTCGTGCCGGCATCAAAAATGCAACAGAAAATTTTTTTCTTTGTACAATCTCTGGGTTCTATAACAAAGGAAGAAAAAAAGTGACATTCCTTTTAAAGATTAGTGGCTTCAAAAAACAAAGACTTTGATCTGTAAATAAATCTCTTTCTCATCTACACATTCTCAAGCATTTTTTTTTTTCACAGCTTCTGATTTGGCTTAATGGCAGCATGGAGAGAACACATTTACACTGAAGACTTTATCATGATCTCAGGTGTTTTTTGTTTTAATCTTAAATGTAAAGAATGATTTCTAAAAATAAGAGATACAGTCCAGAATTTGGACATGACCCAAGCAAAAGTTTTTATCTCTTATTCAATAGTTAAAATACAAGTTAGAAAGTTTGCTGGCAGTTCATTTCATGGGAACATATCAGATGTACATCATCTCTCAATGCACTCCCAATGCACAGACATCAAGGGAACAGGCACACAGAAGTACAATGGACAGGGTGTCCACTGGACAGGCCCAAACATCAGGGCTGCCCAGGTGACAGTGCTGTTAGCTGCTGGTTTGTTATTTGATGGAGGCCCAGCTGACACAGGCATCACTTTATGATACTGATTCATGATTCTGTTTGCAATCTACCTTCCCATCCCCATTTCCTCCCCAGGGGAAAAGTGATTCCCCACCTCCATCTTTCCTTGTCCTAGTATCATGAGTGATCGGAGGGTTGGTCTGAGACTGTGAGCAGGCCTGTCCATGTGGAGTGCTGACAGGTGTTAACGACCTCTGACCTGGCCTACAAGTAGCCCAGAATCACCTGGTGAGAAGGTGGCACTGCCAGAAGAGGTGTATGTGCAATATTCGATCACTGGTTTTCATAGTAAAAGCTCTGTTTAAAAAAATGGACTAAATTAGGTGAGCCAACACAGTATGTTTCATGTTTTTGGCATTGCAATCTGTGGAGAATTTCTACCTGAAACATGATACTCTGAGCCCACCTCCCCCTATGCCCCCACCAAGGTTGTCTTTTAAAAAGCTGCTCTGCAGAATCAGGGCAAGCCTTTAGTATTGTCCATGATCTCTAGAATTCTTTGTGTCTGTGTGATTTGTCGACGCTGATACCATATATCCTCAACAATCAAAAGTGTGCCGAAAGGCACTAAATTTATCTTTCATACTGTGAAGCAAAACAAAAAAAAAAGGTTTTGTGGTCCCTGTGTTTCCTTACATTATCAAAAATATCATTTGGCAATAGCAGTACTTAGCTTTCTCCTCGCAAAAGGCAGCCCTTGCTTGTTGTCCTAAGAGGATGGAGGACTAGCTGTGTTAGACCTCAAGTACTTAAGCTGAACAACTGACTACATTTCTAAAACCTCCTTCTATCCAAAATCTAAAAAAAAAAACACTAGTTGAAGAATAAGGCATATGAATAGGTATTGACAATTCTCAAAAAGTTAGGCTTTCAACAGTTTGTGGCATTTTAAAAGTGCTTTTTGTTGATTTTCAAGTGCTAAATACACAGAATGTTTACATATAAGACAAATATCTTACTGGTTTCTTAAGGTTCTTTTTTTCAAAGCACTTATTTACACGCTATCTGTAGTAGTAAAAAAACTGCCAGGGTAATAGATTTTTCTGCCCCGAAGAAAGGGTTAGACAGCCATACCCAGAATGCATTTAAATACTTATGAGTATGAAAGAACAGTCAGCCCCCCCACCCCCCGTGACAAAGCTCCCCCCTCCTCCGGCTTTTCTAGTGCAGACAGCCCTGTGCACACTCTCATCTGTGCAGCCGTGGGGAGACCAGACATCCTTAAAACAAAAAGCTAACCACCTGTTGAGTAAGTTGATGCAACATCAGTTTCCTGGTTTATTTACTGTATTAAAAAATCATGAGGAAGAGAACGCCGACACATCCAACTTGATCTGCAAGCCTGGCCCTGCAGATGCTTTTTTCCTCAAATTTACAAATTTACTGATAAATGCCACCTGCCATCTGAATAGAGACAACATAAGAAGTGAGAGGGCGTATCCAATCTGCTGCTGTCTTGAGGACTTTTGAAGTGAGAAGACAAACCCAAATTCCTAAAATATTTTGGACATGGGGATGAGAGCAAAGCGGTGTTACTACAGCCTTATGATTAGATCCCCCAGTTTCCAAAGGCCTTGAAAGGAGGCGTCTGGGAAGGTGGGGCCCGGAATGGGCGTGCCCTGCGTTGACCACAGGCAGCCTGTCTTGGGCGGAAGTGCCCGCTAGGGCAGCCAGGGGAGAGCCCAATTCTAACCCATCCCAAGACCCAAGCAGATAAAGCCAACACAGACCTGGCAGGTGGCTCTGCACCCTGCTCCTCCTCCTCCCTCAGGACAGACAGAGTAGAGATGACTACCTGAAAGCCAGGTACGTGCGATTTCAATGCCATCAATGGCGGGGCCGAGTCACACACACTCTGGGCGTTTCCTGGGCCGATACCAGCCCGGGAGACAAACTCCACATGGCCTTCACACCCTCCTCTCAAGCAGAACTCCTGTTGTTGCATCACAAAAGGCAGCTTCATAAGCACTGAGCAGCAGGTGTGCATTTAATGCCCTCGTGCGGATGGCGAGTGAAAAAATATATTCAATTCAACAAGCAGGACATGCTCCGGGTGTGGCTGGAATTTGGCATGAAGACAAACTTACGTTACATTCACTACAGTCCCCAGAGTCATGCTGGTTTTGTTATTTCAGGTCAAAAAAGGGGTCTGGTGAGTCCAGGAGCAGCACAGGGAGATACGAGCCAATTAACTCCACAATTGCACTTACCTGAGTTCATCAGGAATCATCAAGTCTTACTAGGGGATAAAAGCCAACTCCAAACCTCGCCGTGTAGGATGTTCCCTCCTTACTGAGCAGAAGAGCCTAGACCCTTGCTGGCGATCCCCCAGGTAAGGAAGAGCAGATCCACAGCAGCTGCAAACCACAGCCGCTTTCTTCAACATCTGCATCTCTGACATCTATTCAGTCTCTAGGAATTCTCTTAGAATTCCTTAGCCTGGATTTCTAACCTGGGGGGATGAGACCTTTCACTTGCCAGGCCCAGGGGCAGTTGACAAGAATAATGGTCTATTCCACTGCCCTGTGATCAAGCCTCAAAACCTGTCCACATCCGTCTGCCCGAGGTAAGGTGCATTCTTAAGTACAAACCTCCTGGAAAATAAATACAAGATAGGAGTTGGGGATCTCAGCACCATAACTTTCTGGAGCCAAGAAGGATGGGGTGGTAAAGCCTCGACAAGGTGGTCTTTGGCACTGCTCACAGGGAGACACCTTCGCGCTGGAGATGACGTGAGTGCTTGAGGGTGCTGCCCCTCAGGGGCCTGGTGGAGCCAGGGGTGGACAAGGACGTGTCTCCTTCACTGCCTACTGTCCTTGCCCCCTCCTCATCAGAGGCCAGCCTGAAGGGTCACAGGCTCCTTCTCCAGAAAGACCATTTCTCCAAGGAAGTCTGCAACACACACTGGTTTGCCCAGCTCTGCTATCAATGGCATGCTGGAGGACAGTGGCCTTGTTCCAGCTCTCTCTAGAACATCACCTGGGAGCCAAACAAATAGAAAAAGACATATCCCAGGATGCCCAAATCCCTTCACAGCCAGTTCTCTGCTTCCAGTAATGTAAGGGAATGACTGGGCACCCACCCCTTCCCCATATGTCCCAGATGGGAAGCTGGTATTTTTGAAGGGCCCCTTCTTTCCCAACTGACCCTTACACACAGAAATGTCCCTGGGCTTTGGCTACTAGAAGCAGACTAATTCCAGTCTTCTGGTAACTGTTTCCATAATTCTTCCCAAGCATTCGTCACCCTGGACATTTTTAAAGCACACATTCCCACAAGGCAAGATGGAACGTGTTCATTTCCAAAGATGAGCGTTCACTGCTCAGTCGGTCTGGTGTCTTCCTCCAAATATTAATAGAAGGCCACCAACCCGTTACTAGATACACACCCTGTTCTACCAGCAAGCTGTCAATTGGACCCAGACATCCATACCCACGCCACATGATGGTTTAGAGGTAGAATGAAACACTGAATCACCACTTGGGCTGGATGGACTGTTCATATCCTTCTGCTGCAATCAATCATTTCTAATTGTACCAAACAAAATTCACATCAAAGGATTTTAGAATGGCATGAAAGGGGTCTTACAGTGCAGGTAAGTACCAACTGATATAAAAATTATAATTTAAACTTCAACTTTTTCAAATATGACGACACACAACCAAACTGTTCTGTGCTGTCCAACTGCTGCCTCCCCAACACCAGCATCAAAGCCATGGCTGAGCCAAGGTCAACCCTGCAGTCAGAAGAGGAATGAAGTGACTTCAACAGGTGGCATGTTGCCCAGTATGTACAGGTTAACTTCCATGTGCAGCCATGTCCCAGCACAGGTTTCATTAAATAATAATAATAATAATACCACTTATTTGAGGCTCAGGTTTCAATGAGCCACAGACGAAAGAACACAAACATGACCTATGTAGCTTCATTTCAGGAGAAAAAATAAAATTTGAGTTGGAAGATAGATCCTTTTAGTCTGTTGGTTTGAAAAGTATACCTGGTAATTGTTGGAAATGAAGACTTCGATGCACCCAGCAGTCCCCAGAAATCTGGCTGCAAATTGAGATTTTAGCTGAACAAGAAGTGTAGAGTTTGGTATTACGTTTGTCATTTTTGAGGCCTGTCCAGATACTCACTTTTCTTCCTGACCATATTAAGGGTTAAAGCACTTCATGTAGAACATTCACAGTGAGTTTACACAATCTCAACTGTGTCATAACAATACACCAGGTTCTCACCAAAACATTGCCTAAACACTCAGTGGACATAGTGGGAAATATTAAACTAGGAATTTTTGGTGAGGTAAAGGCAACCGGCACAAAGCAGACATGGTTGGTGGGGCCTGGCATATGCCCACTGATCTCACCAACTAGGGAGCTACTCTGACTTCAAGACAATAGATATTCCCAAACAAGCTTAATCTCTAGTCTGACGACATTTAACAAGCAAAAGAAAAACACTGAAGAACCGCACAGAGAAAAACTCACCTGTTTTCATTTTACACAAAAACAGTTTCCAATCTACTGCATTCTAGTGTCAGAAACCAGCTGGGAGAGCAATGCCCCCTCAGCTGCTCAAGGCATCGCATAAGGACAGGATGCTGGCTAGCTCACTCTAGCACTGATACATACAGACACTGACCTCATTGGTCCTATATGAACCAAAACCATAAAACAGATGTCACTCATCACATGCAGGCAGCAGGCCAGTCACAGCTACAGGCCTCTGTACATTAAAGACTTTCCATGGAGGTGCCAACTCCTCCTTCTAGACTGAGCCAGGTCAGGGCCCATGGAGGCCAGCTGCAGAGCCCCCACGCATCCACGGAAGGCAAGCGCTGCCTTCTGTTCATGTCTCCCTCATGTCTTTGAAAAGCGGGACCTGGGTTCTCTTCCACAACTGGCAACTCCATGTCTCCAAACCCAAAACTGTAATGAGATGTCGGAACGTCAGCTGAGAGGCGTCTTGTCCCTCAGTTTCAAAGCTTCGTGGTGCTCCATTTAACCAGTCCCTCCCCACATGGAGGTCAGCTTCTTTCACTGAGATGATTACGGCTTTACAGACTCCACCAAGGAATAAATACTAACCGAAAACAACTATCGGACAAAGGGAGGAGGGGAAGGGAAAGAAATACATGAAGGAGAGACGTTTCTGTGGTCGTTTTCTCAGTGCTGCTTCTCTGGCCCTGCAGGAACATTCTGGAATCGGGTGCCAGGCCCTGTGCAGGTAGAAGTCTCTGTCCCAGGAAGGAACTCACTTGGCTTCTTGTTTCTCCTGCAGGAGCGGAATAATCGACTCCCACGCCATGAGGCACTGCAATGACAACACACACACACAGTATCAGCACTGGGTTTCAGATTTCGGGGTCGGCTTCTTGTTCTGCTCCCATCTACCCCTCCACGGCTGATCCCAGGGGGCTGCCTTTGTCTAGTGATGCCTACATGTATTATCCATAACTATTAGAAACAGGAGATAACACGTGTTTGTTCTGAATACACCACCCCAATCTCTATGAAAGACAGTGGTGTCTCTACAAGGCCTAAATGCACTGGCCGTAAGTGAGTGGAAAGGTATTCCCTGAGAAATTCTTTCCCTTCAAAATGCAGCAAAGAGACCAGGCTGCAAACCCTCGATGAAACTCTGGGTTCTCAGCCAGGAGACAGACACTGCCCCGAGGCTGGGAGGGGGGCATAAGGACGTGAATCAGATTGGAACGAGCAGCCACCCAACTCGAAAAGCAGAAACCCTGCTCTTCCTCATCAACCTCAGATCCACTCCTGGATCTCCTGAAAGGAAAATGTGGGGAGGGAACTCTATGTTTATTAAGTCTTCTGTCTACTATTCTGTATTTTATATTCACTTTCACTAGCCCTCACCACTCTATGAAGTACAATTATTACTTATTACAAACACATTTCATAGGGAAAAATGAGAGCCAGAGAAGTTAAACAACTTGCCCAGCATCCACAGCTGGTAGGAGGCAGAGCTCATCATTCCAAAACGGATGTTCTTTCCACTACCTCAATCCCTCATCCCAGATCCTCATGAAGGGCCAGGAACTTAGAAGGCTCTGGCATTCTCCTCTGACAGCACCTGCTTAGCAAAAATGATCCCCCCTTGGAGCAAGCTTTTGCATAAAGGGAAGGACAGAAGAACCAGACACGGCCTTTCCTGGAAGCAGCCCAGGGAGGGAGCAGGACTCTGAGCTGAGTCCCCGGGGAGGAGCTCTGAGCAGGTGGGAGGAGGAAGGCATCGCAGGTCATGCCAGGGAGAGGATGGTGAGATCCCTCCCCGGTTCCTCCGTGACACCAAGTGGGAGGAGCTACACTCAGACCCTGCCCTAGTAAGGAAGCCTGGGGATCCTCACAGAACTTGTTTTAGGCCAGAGCCCAGGGTCTGCGCCACTCTGGGTCCTGCCCTCTCCCAAGGCCATCATCTCAGATCTGGGAGGGTCCTCAGATGGGCAGCCAAGGCCACACCAGCTCTCCAGTCTTCAAATGCTCAAGCTTGTCTCCGCTTCAGTGCCCTTGCCCATGAAGCTTCCTGTGCCTGGAACACCCGTTCCTCAGGTCTTTGTCACCAGTGTCACAGTTAGGGCGAAACGGAATGAGATGACATGTGCAGATTCACAGTAAGTGTCATTTCCTCAGACTGGCTTCTCCTGCCCACTCCACTTGGCCCCTTCATCCCTGATCTGAATTACACCCCTAGTGTTTCCTCGTATAGTTTCTTGGACTTTTCCTGTAGAGCACTTATCTCACTCTGACGTGGTGGGATTCTTGGATAAACATGTACCTCACTAGACTGAAGGCCCCTTGATGGCAGGAATCCTGCTGTTTCATTTACTGACATACACCCAGCTCTTACACACAGCAAGCATACAGCAAGCATTTGTTAAATGCATGGAGGAGCCAAGCCAAGACCCCCAAGACAGTGTAGTCTTTGTGGTACATGGGAAAACTACTCAATATAGATATAAGACCTGGCCTTGAGTCCTGGGACCAGGGCCTTGGGAATGCTGGGATTAATGGCCAAGAGGAGTGAGGGACGCATCCAATCAAGTCAGCCTGGGCGTAGTGAGACGGCCGCTGAATAGCAGGGGAGAGGAAATGCCATTTACTGAGTGTTTACCATGGGCCATGCGTGTTCTCGGTACTCGGGTATGGATTATTCATTGCATCTTCAGTCATTCACTGGAGAAGGATCGCTCCCATTTTACAGATGAAGAAACAGGGCACAGAGAGGTGCCCTGCTGAGGGGCACAGTCAGTAGAGGAATGAGGCCTTGACTTCACACAGACTGATCTTTCCACCTCTGGGCGCTCAGGACGGTCATGAAAGCACGTGACCCCTGTCCCCCACACTGACAGTGTGTGGCAATGGGGATTTCCAGACCTGTGGGCCCAGCAGAGCCGAGCCCGAGCCTCTTGGGTCACTCACACGGTGTGTGACCTTGGGCAATTTAAACTTGGCTGAGCCTCCGTGTCTTAAGCTTTAAACTGAGAATCACAAAGCCCACTTCACAGTGTTAGTGAGGGCTAAACAGAATGAGCGGACTTATGCAGAACACCCAGCCTAGTGGCAGTCCAGACACACAGCAGGGGCTCCGTGGAGATGGCACTGAGAAAAGGGGTGTGCCACCTTGCTCTCTACCTCTCAAGGAGGGGTCTCCCTCCTCAGACCTGGCATGTAAGGGCCATTCTATTCCATGGTTTTGTTTTCCTGAACCCTCCTCTAGATAAAGACGCAGACACACTCCCTCTGAACGGCAGCCAGGACTATCAAAACCTTCAAAGTAAATGGATTCTTCCACTTTGGGATGAGGACATGTTTCTAGAATTGTGGTGGGAATAGCCGAGTTCATCTTTGATCAGTCTGATTTCAAGTCCACAGGTTACCTGTTCATTTGTGATCAGGCCATTCTTCATCTATGACTTTAAGCTTTTAAGAAACATAGGATTTTTACTCTACAAGAAGATATGTCAAAGAAATAATCAATCTTCCCATGTTTTCTTCC